TGAGTCCATGTCTTTGTACATTATGAAATGGTCACCACAATAAGTCTAGTTACCATGTCACCATACAAAGCTAATTCAGTATTACTATCTTCCCCATGGTTAACCTTACAACTATTCCACTCAGTTTCAAACGATGGTGCATCTCGCACTTTGACAACTGTTGTTTATGGGCAAGCACTGTGCTGGGTTCTGTATTTTACTTCGTTTGATCGGCAAAGGCCTCGGGCTCCAGGCAGTGTGACAGACAGCCTGAATTGCAAAGCTCTGATTTAGATGCCATGTTTCCTGGCAGAATTGGTGAATCACTTCGGCTCTGAACCTTCGTTTCATTCACCTCTGAAATCCAGAGGCTAAGGGAATATGAAAAATGAGAAGCTGGCAGGCGCAGCTTGTGATGGAAAGGAGTTAGTTAGCACTTTTAAGCACAGTGGAAAGGCAACTTGCACTCTGCAGTTTGAAGCAAGGCTGTTTATGTGATCAGAAATATGTTTTAAAATGGTCTCTTGGCTTCTCTCAGGACAGCATTCCGTAAGAAGGCTGTGTAAAGCTCTCAGTACTGAAAATACTCCTAAATCTTGTATCCCCAGCCCATACCTACTCTCTAAGCCACTGGTCATTTGTCACATCCTCTTGGTGTCAAAAAGGCATATCTGACTCAACACGAGCAAAGCAGATTCTGACTACTCACACAGCCCCCGTATCAGAAACTAGTGTCACTGACTACCCACTGGCTCAAATGAAAAGTTTATGTGCCATCCTTGTGTCTCCCTTTCCTTCACTACCCACATACAATCCACCACCAACTGCTGCTAGCTCTCCAAATGAGGAGGGTCTCCATTACTTCCACTCTAGTGTAAGCCACACCATCCTCTGCTCTGGACCTCCACAGACCTGCTAACTGGACTTTTGACTCCCAATCCATTGGCCACAAATGACCTTTAAAAATCCAAGTCTAATTATGTCCCTCTTAATGCAAAGTGTAAAATTCTTCTTCATCTTCCCTTTGCTTTTTGCTGTAAATTTCTTTCCCTACGAGGTCCTGCCTGATGGGCTCCTGTCTCTCCTCCATTTACCCTTTACTCACCAAGCCCAGTCACACTGATATTTCTTTTCCTAAAACACATTCAGCTCCTTCCGGTCTTGGGGCCTTTGTTTTGCTGCGCCCTCTGCTGGGAATACCTGCCCCCCGCCCAGCTCTTAGCACAGTGGCGACTTCTCATTATGTGGTTCAAAGAAAAGATTTCTGTGGCTGACATGGCCTGCCCCTTCTACTTTCTTCAATGCACTTATCATAATAATCTAATATTTTGTTTACTTGATGTAGCAGGTAGAATCTAAGGTGGAGCCCATGATCCCCAACTGTGGTATGCATTCCCTTGTGTGATCCCTCCTCTTCGTGTGAGTGGGACCTGACTGCTTCTAACCCACAGAATGGGGTGAGAGTGATGGGATGTATGTGATTATGCATACATGATTACGCGTTATAAGAATGTGATGTCCATCCTGCTAAGAGACGTTCTCCCTTGGTGGTTTTGAAGAAGCAAGCTGTCAGGCTGTGAGCTGCCATATGACAGGGAATGAGGGCCTCAGCCCCAAAGCCTACAAAGAAATGGATGTTGCCAATGACCATGTGAGCTCGGATGTGGATCCTTCCGCAGGCAAGCCTCAAAGGAGAAGCAACGTGGCAGCGCTGCTGTTGTAGTCTCGCAAAGGACTCAGCTAAGCCAGGCCTGTACTCCTAACACACCGAAAATGTAGGATGACAAAAGTGCTCTTTGTAAACCTTTACGCAACAATAGATAACTAATACACTTGTTAGCTGACTCCTGCATTAAAAAGTAAACTTCAGGAGGCCAGGGCCCTCTTCATTCTTCTTTTCTGAAGCCTCAGAACCCAGAAGGGTATTTAGCTTAGACAGCTAATAGCAGACACTTGCAGGTCAGAAAGAAACATTCAGTAAATAGTAACTGTTAATATTAACACCCCCATGTATTGGCAGGAAAAGGCAGTTCTTGTTCTCTAAGAGTTGAAGGCCCCTTTAGCGACAGGTGTGGCTGACTGTCATGGGATACAGAAAAGTCTGAGCACCAAATGAAGGCCTTTATGCCCTCCTGAATCAAAAAGCAAGTATTTGCTTCTGTCTGCCTGGCATACATTCCCTTTCCTTGCGATACTCCTTTGCGATCGGATTGTCCTCCCATCTCTACATACGCTAGCACTCCCACCTATGCAGAACCAGTGGGGCTGGCCCACCCCCTCCCCTGGTTCCAGAATGCACACATGTCCCAGCCCTGATCTGTCAGCATATTCCATCCACCCTGGCCACGGTGTTTGGTTTGGGGTTGCTCACATGACCCAAGTCTGTCTAATCGGAGCCAAAAATCTAAATATACTACTGGAAAAGAACAGCTTCCTTGTCCAATAGGGAGTGCTAACTACAAGGCTGATGTAAAATTAGAGCTGCTGGGACCTCCCCATGGGGAGGGCCTGCCTAAAACTCAGCTCACACTGAGAAAAGCAGCGCTGAGAGATGAAGGAAGAGAGATGCCTAATGACACCACTTGAGCCCCTGGATCCAGCAGCGCCTAAAGTCCTACCTTTCGGCTTTTTAGTTCAGTGAAACGAATCCGTCCCCCTCTGCCCCCACTTTTTAAATCCATTTTGAGTTGAGTGTCTATCACTAGCAACTAAAAAAGCTTTATTACCCAGGATCTGCCATGAAATTGACACAGACGGAAAAAATGGGTTTTATGTCTAGAAAGGGGGTATTTTGAAATAGAGTGAAGAAAAAAAGCTCATCTAAATAAATATTTTTAAATAAAATACCACAGGGGATAAACCACTGAAGTAGATATCCCATAGGATTTAAAAAATTTTTGTAGTCCTTTATCATTTTCATGGGACGTTTTGAAGAAATGGTTTAACAAGACAAGTCCTTAAAACAATAAAAAAGTATCAAGTGCAAATATTTTAAAGAGTAACATGACTTAACAATACTCAACAGTGGAAACCATACCTTTAGACTTAGAAAAAAATGCTCTTGGCCGTAAGGTTAAGTTTGGACTCTATTTTCTAACTTTGTCTGAGAGGCTATTATTCCTAAATGTTGTTTGTCTTTCTGATAAAAGGCTAATAAGGCAGAAGAGCTTGTTCTGTTTTGGATTCTTTCCCCCACCTCTTTTTTCAAATGAGTGAAGAAATAAGCAGCTCTCATTTAAAAAAAAAAAAAGGAAGAAAGAAAAAGGAAAAACAATCTGTGGCTGCCCCAAATTGGGGCCTCGGATACAAGATCTGAGCCTTTGGGGTCAAGTCACCGGCCTGTAGAGGCTCAGAACCCTGCCAAGTTCAGGTGTGCATCTCTGGGGAGGAGGGGGTGAGAGGTGCGAGGAGCCGCCACGCCATCGAGATTCTCTGCTGATTCTCCATGTGAGGGCCGGTCAGCTGATGGAACTGACCAAGAGCAACAAGATCCCCAAAACTGTCCATTGCAGGACCCTACAAATAAGTGAAAAAGCTAGAGGACACCTCCAGGAAAAGCTTGACTACCCAGTCCCTTCTGAGTCATAATCCCAAGGGGCAAGGATGATCCAACAGCTTTCCAGAGGTGCTTGAAAAAAAGCTTTGGTTCCGTTCAGCTGGTCATTCCTGGTAGAGCCCCTCTAAGTGTGTAGACTTCATGGCCAGCTAACAGTCGCCACTGGAGTTGTGTTGTGTCCATAGTCTGTTTGGCAACAAGAGGAAATGATCAGCTCTAAGGCCTCTTTAAAGAGCAATGTTGAGCGTATACATGGCGGAATGAATGACGTTCTTCGCTGGTTTAGTTTTGGTTGCTTCTTGCAACCACACCAGATTTTGGGCTACACTGACTTTACAGATGAGGAAACTGGGGGCCCGAGAGGTCAAAATACCTGAATTAGGGGCAGGGGTTATGATCCTTTTTCCCATTCTAATTTGGATACTGCATTTTCTCCAAATTATTGTTTGTGTCCTCATGACAATCCAGTGAGAGAGGCAGAGCAAGGAGTAGGCCTATTTTACCAATGGAAGAAAACTGAGAACAGAGATGTTGAACAGCTTGTTCAAGATCACACAGGTAAAAAATGGCATAGCTGGGATTCAAATTCTAATTAATTCTAATTAACTGACCATTTCTTTACATCTTTAACAGAAGGGAGATGGGGCAGGGAGAGAAATAGGTCTGTCTTTTTTCATCCCAGTGATGGTAGGTTTCAGAGGTAAGTGAGAGAGGAGGTAGCACTATTGATATTAACTTAACTGGCTCTATGGATTCTCTTTGAATTTCAAGTAGCTAATAACACTTATACCCCAAGCAGGGGAGCTATGGCACACACCAGAGCTTGGCTGACCAACACACATTCCCAAGGCCCTTCTCCTTGTGGGTTTATACTCCATTTCCCAGCCTCCCTTCCAGCTTACGGTGGCTATCTGCCAAAATTCCAACCAATGAGGTTGGTTGGGATAAGAAAGGGGGTAGGTTCTGGGAAAGATTTCATTTACTTGACAAAAAAGGTCAGACTCAACTGGTGAGGACTCATTTTTTTTTTCCTCTCTTCATCCTGCCTTGAATGAAGTTGGTGTAGCCAGCAGCAGCTTTCTTGTGGCCATGAGGTGACAAGCCAGTGGGGTAAGGATGGCAACACAGAAAGGCAGAAGGTGCCTGGTACCTTGATGACACTAGAGAGGCTGTGCCAGGACTGGGCTATCTCCAGCTTGTTGTTATGCAATAAAAATAAATCCCTATTTGTTTAAGCTAGTATCTACTTAGGTTTTTCATTACTTGCCACCAAAGCATTCCTACCTGATAATTTAAAAAAAAAAAAAATGAGAAGGAAACCTTACCTCTTTTTAAGCAGAGATGTGAAGAGGCTAGGCACCTCCTATCTTGGGAGACTGAGTATGATGTGACCAGGGTTAGGGTGTTACTTGTGAAAATCTCCCCAAATAGTAAAGATTAAATTATTGCACTGACATGTATTTACCTGGGAGAAAACCAGTAGTTGACGAGGCTGGAGACTACCATGTAGGACACTATGATTGTCCCTGACATGATGAGTGACACGAAGCCCAAGCCACAGAGGACACAAAGCAGTGAGAGGCTGCCCACAGATATGACCAGTCCTAGAAGAAAGCATGTCAAAGAATCATTCATCTAAAACAGACTGAAAACATCAGACCCTGCACCACTGTGTTTAAAACAACAGTTAACTCAGATGTTTTAAGTGAGGAGGTTTTCCACAAAAATCCAGACTTCTGGTATTGCTTAAAAAGGAGGCAATCTCAATACCCAAGTGAGCATCACTGCATGGCAACAACTGCTGGCCTTCCAGTTTCTTCCAGGCCCCACTGTTCCCAACTGTATTATTCTTGGACTGCTTTGCTCACTTTTGTTACCTGTCTTGCCCATGGCAAGAATCTGAATTTGAATCTCCCTCATTCACAAGGTCAGGGATGGGCTCCCAATGGAATCCTCTAGAAGGAGTTAGCCAAGACAGTAATGGGGGTGGTAAATCATGACCAGTGTTTCAAACTGCCTACCAAATACTATAACTTACACTTACCTACAACCTATGGAAATAAAGGCTATGCAGGCTAAATAAAGTCAAATCTAAACATAACTTTTGATTACATCCTTTACAACCCAGCCTGGCAACTATCACACAGTAACCATAGGTCTGAATGGTCATTTTACCCACCATTAAATAAGTTTTTAATGGGAATATTAATGAATTACCATCTAATAAGTGCAGAGAAAATACATTTTTATAACATGGGGTCTATGGGAGAAAAATAATAAAAGATACCATGGAAAGAGGATGGATTTTCATAGTTGACACGCCTGAGTTTGATCCTAGTTAAGTCACTTATGGTGAGACTTTGGGCCGCTTGGAGCTTTAGTTTAACTAATCTGTAAAAAGAATATAATAATAACTACCTCTAAGTGTTGACATGACAATTAAATGACTATCATATATGTGACTCACTGTGGCAGAAAGTCTGCCCAGCACACTTTCTCTTGCCTTCCTCATAACAAAATTCCTCTTTCCAAAGCAGAACTAATAACATGGCGAATGTTGCATGGCAGACATCCTTCCCCTTGCCTCACAAGCTGTCAAATAGCCCACCCAGTACTCCACAGTGACAGTTTCAGGGATGGACTCTGGAAAGGAAGGAAAGTAGAGAATGTAAACAGACGTGCTGCCTTTTCATAAAGATTTACAAAATCTTAGATCAGTATTTTTCAAAGGATGGCTAACAACCAGCTGTATCAGAATCAGATGCATTAGGGAATCTTGTTGAAAATTTGCATTTCTGGACCCCACTCCAGACCTACTAAATAACAGTCTCTGGATGATACATGAAAGTCCACATGTTCAAAAAGCAAGTAAGATTTATGCAGACTCAAGTTGCAGAACCACCGCTCTAAAGTGGAACAGCTTTGCACACGCTGTTCCTCCTATCTAGAAGGCCCTTCCTTGTCTACTCTGGGACAAAGTTGTTATACATCTTTAAAGTGCTCTCTCCTGTAGAGCTTTGTATGATACCACAAAAGGGTAGTGGCTCTCTTATTTCTTTCTAAATTTACCTTTGTTTTGATATTGATTCATCTTTCTCCCATCTATCCATCAATATTTACTGAACAACCACTCTGCCATACTGTATTTGGCTCATCCACCTACCGTGCCTGTCTTCTTCTTCAAGTGTAAACTGCCTTGTCCACAATCCCTTTGGTAGGGAAGCAACCCTGGGTGCTCTTAGCTCTGGGAAGCCATAGAATGAGCCAGAGGTGATCACCTGAGCAGATGGCAACCATCTCTTTGTGGACTGTGATCTGAGTTGAAAAGGCAAACTAAGCCAATCAGATTTTACTTTCGTAGTAATTTTAACTTAGCAACTCAGGGAGAAGCTGACAATTGGCAGTGGGACTTCAGGAGGAAAGGTGGAGAAGGGGGAACCTCAGTACATAGTAAGGCACCTGGCATGCAACAGGTGCTCCATAGCTATCTGTGGAGTGAATTTTAATGTTCTGTTTAATGACAATAGTTAGCATGCATGGAGAAGCTACTCTGTGCCAAGGATTGTGCTAAGTACTTTATGCAACTGTGAGTTTCAATCCTCACAACCCTCTGAGATAGTATTATTATATCCCTATTTTACATATGAGGAATTTGAGGCTCAGAGAGGGTAAATAATGTGTCCAAAATCACACTGGGGGAGGTGGGATTCGAACAGACTCCAGAGCCCATGTTTTAACTACTCTGACAACCTGCCTTGGTCGATGTGGTTTTGACAAGAACAGGAACCTTTGACAAGAGTGGCAGATGCCCAATAAATACTGTCATCCCAAGTGAGTCATTTTCCAAGGGGGAGAGTAACTGAGTAGGATACCTTCTAGTAATATGACTCCCAAAAACGCAGCCAGGGAGGTGAGCACCACGAGGAGCAGGAAGCAGCCAACAGGAACGGCTGACACAGCAGCAAACACCAGCAAGGTGAGGCTCAGAAAAGGATGCCTGTCCAGGTACTGGCCCACTGGAGACTTCATGAAGGCAACCACCTGTGGGCAAAGGAGACGAGCAGGACTGAATGCCATGTCTGAACCCCAGACTGATGAATTCACCCGAGCTATAGGAAGTATAAGCCAAGGTTATAAAGTTGGAAGGCCCATAGGTAAGAAGTCAACAATAATCCTCCCAAGACATGAGCTGCCCCAGCAACAACTTAAGGCAGCTGTGGACAGGGGGCAAGTTTGAGGGCCCCACCCAACCTCAAGTCTTGTGAAAGGAGGAAAGACCCAGGCATGGCTCTACTGCTTCACACACACCCTCTCAGAAGGCATCCTCAGCATATGTGTGCTCTGATGTAATATATGTACAATTGGCTGCTTACTTCACAGTTGAGGACACTGAGGCACAGAGAGGTTAAGTCCTAGCTACTTGGCATCACCTGGGAGCTTGTTAGAAATGCAATATCTTGGGCCCTGACCCAGACCTGCCAAATCAGCTTGTTTTTTTAATGAGATCACCAGGTGATTTGTACACACATTAAAGTTTGAGAAACAGTGGGACGAAATGACTCACCTAGAGTCACATGGCTTCCAAGTGGCAAAATCTAGGCATTCAAAGCTAAATCTTTCCACTTCAGATGTCTGCAATGGCTGCCACTTCATTAGGAGAAAATGTTTTGATGTCATCATCCTGGATACCACAGTCAGGCCACAGCCTGATGACTACTGCAAGCTTATGCTGTGTTAATAAGTAGGTTATCTTCCTCCACCAGGCAAAAGGGTTCTGGAGCTGGCTCAGTGGAGGGTTGGGGGGGCTGCTTTAATACAGAGCTGGCCCTAGGCATCCTCACAAGGATGGGCTTCCCCCTCTTCTTAGGGTCCATGCCATCTCTCTCCTCAGTGCTGGCATGCTAATTCCCGTTCCCTTGAAAGCTTCTATCATTCCAGAACTTTTCCCCATCAAAACTCGTCCTTCCTGTGTCTCATTCCTTAGGGCCATGTAGGCCAGCAGGTGAACTGAAGATGTAATTTAAGCGTCAGTGATGGTGGGTGCCACTAACCAAAACACACCTTCTCCTAGAAAGAGTTCTTCACCCAAGTGACTCAAATGGAGGAAACTGTGGGCAAGCTGGAAGGCAGGAGGATTTTGGAGCTCAAGTTGATGGTGACAAAGCACAGGACTCACTCTGCTTAGCTAGAAAAGGCTGTTCCACAAAGCCACCGTTCTCAGTCCTGGGGCTTCAGCATTGACAAACTTCACTTCCCGGCCCAAAATGGCATAACACCTACTGGCTACACTGCCTCCAGCTACTCCTTTCTGACAAAAGCTATCTAAGACTTGGCTGTTCAGCTTCTCTCGCCAGAGGTGACTGTGCCAGGAATCACCTCTGAGCTGGAAATACCCAGCTTGGATACTCTAGGATCAGAACCCAGTGAGATCTTCCCGTTAGGGCGGCTGAAGGTGAGAGAGAGGCAGAGGGGCCATGGGAGTGGGGCTGGATGCTCCTTTGAGCTGTCTCAGGTCTTGATTGCTTTCCAGCTCTAGTCCACGTGTATCCTTAGTAAACCTCCAGGGGTCACCTGACAGACCGAACTGCTCTGTCTGATCCTTAAAATCAAGAGACCCAGTAACCACAGTGGCGGGGGAGCAGATGAGGCTGGAACACCAGAATGCCAGGCTTACGACTTTATACCCAGACCGTCCAGCACAGAAGCCACATGTGGCCACTGAGCACTTGAAATGTGGCTAGCGTGACCGATGAGTTGGATTTTTAATCTAAGTTAAATTTAAAAACTGATGTTTGATTCAGTCATTGAAAAAATTTTAATTACATTTCAAATAAGGTGGGTATGTTTCAAATAAGTTTTTCAATTATCAATTTTATGAAATCTAAATAGAGACCAAGTATTTCCAATGGAAAATCAGCATGTGAATTGATATGTGCACTGAATGTATTAAAAAAAGAATGTAAAATATCTCATCAATGATTTTTAAATATTGATTACATGTTGAAATTATATTGTTTTGGATATATTGGGCTATATAAAATATATTATTAAAATTAATTTTACGTTTCTTTTTATGTTTTTTTTTTCTTTTGTGGTACGCGGGCCTCTCACTGTTGTGGCCTCTCCCGTTGCAGAGCACAGGCTCCGGACGCGCAGGCTCAGCGGCCATGGCTCACGGGCCCAGCCGCTCTGCGGCATGTGGGATCTTCCCGGACCGGAGCACAAACCCGCGTCCCCTGCATTGGCAGGCGGACTCTCAACCACTGTGCCACCAGGGAAACCCTTATGTTTTTTAATATGGCTACTAGAAAACTTAAAACTATATATGTGGTTCACATAATATTCTGTTGAAAAGCGCACACTCAAATTTTACCTAGAAAAAAAAACAAGCGAACTATTGGCATTTGAGCAGGACTGTGATGCAATCAAAGGAATAATTTTAAAAAGATGAACCTGGTGGTCCTGTGCAAGAGGCAATGAGGAAGATTTGCAGGGAAGCCAGCAAGAGATAATGATGGCCAAAACTAGGCTGATGGCAGGGAGGGACAAGGAGGAGGAGGAGATGCAGTATGAAAGTGGAACGACAAAAGAAAATTCAACAGGACCAGGAGACAGTGTGGCATAGGGATGCAAGAGGGGAAAAGCAGGAAGGGACTACTTGTAGTCCTTAAGAAATTTAATTTTTTCTTAGCCTCTTCTAAATCTGGGCCCTACAAGGAAAAAATAGAAAGTTATTCAGATATGCAGAGAGACCAATTTAAGATGCAGACAATTAAGCCCAGCAATTGTCTTCCCCTAGGGAGGATGGCCCTGCTCGGACCAGTCTGTCTCAGAAGAGGAAGATATGATTCAGTTATGCCTAATAATAAGAGACAACATTCATTAAACACTCAAGTGCCAAGCACTATTTTAAGAGCTTTCAATAAACCTCCTTATTTTTTTCTCTCTACAATGCTACGAGGTAGGTAACAAGGCAAAATTTAACATTATTTAAATCCAGGAATTAGACTATAGCAATTAACTTTTCATTCTCCCAGGCAACAGAGGGTGACACAATGGAAGGATGGAAAGTGGGAGAGCTTATTATTCAGCAACATTTTCCATCGCCCTCCTGGAAGGAGACACAGGTTATCCAACCTAGATTTTACAGGCATGGTGTGGTGCTAAATAACCCAGGAATGCCAGGCTGGGACAGACTGGCACCATTATGTTCCAGACTCTGTGCTAAGGCCTTCTCAAACAACATCTGAGATCATCCTCACAACAAAGCTATGAGCCTGGCATTGCTTATTTTAGAGAAGATGAGATGGAGAGTCAATGAGCCCAAGCAACTTGCCCAAGGTCAAACACAGGTGATTTATTTTAAAATGCACACATGAGTATGGGAGGTTCCAAAATAGGGACAACATGGCCAGTGTTTAAGGACATGAAGGCTCCATCTGGAACTATTCAGAAGAGAGGCCAATTCCCCGGTGTTAGAATGCAAAAGATAATCAGTATCCACTGTCTTTGCTACCAGAGGGGTGGAGGGCAGAGGGGTCAGCATTATTTAAAACCACTGGTAATGACAAGTCCAAGGTGCTGTGTGACAATTTCTCCCAGATTTTGGTCCTTGTGATTCAGGATTAGAATACAGGTGCCAAGGAGGTAATTCAAAAACACCCTTTGTCCCAAAAAAATAATAATAAATAAATAAATAAATAAATAAACATCCTTTGTGGAAGGAAAGGGCCAGCATGAGAGCAAAACTATTTTGTCCTAGGTAATCCACACAAGGAGATACCATTGGGAGGGCATCTGCCCAGCCCATGCTCCATCTCTCTTCCCTCCTCTGTGAAAACTGCCCCCTCTCACAGCAGGGGTGGGCCCCTGAAGCCATGTTTATACCACTGAAATGGAAAGCCCCAGCCCAACTGCCACCTCCCTGGCCATAGGTGACTTGGTTAAGCAGATTCTTGCTCCTAGGAATCAAGCACTCCCAAGACCAGGTCCCATAGAGGATTTCAGCTGGGAGCTGGAGGAGACATGAGGAGTTGAAGGTACCATCCTGGGCGATCATGTCTGCCCATGTGAATGGAAGAGCAAAGGAAGCCAGGCTGCAAAGAGAGGAGAATGAAGCTGATACACAAGGAAGAGTTACGATGAGGAATAGTATGTCTCAAGAGAGGGCACTGAGAGTTATCTCTGACCCCAGTGACCTGCCAGACTCTGGTTCTAACCCCTCCTGAGGCTCCGCCCTGTTTACTTCCTGCCTTGGCTTCTATGATAGCCTTACATTTCCCAAAAGCCCTGGGAGGTCTCACTGTTTGTTTGCTTGTTTAACCTATTTGGGACAGGTTTCTGACTCTGTCAGTCTAAAAGTAAGACAATTAAGACTTGACATTCCAGAGGTTTCCTAGAAGAGATGACAGAGTTGTTTCACAAACACTCCACCTGGAAGCCATCTATTCTTATCTGGAACTCAAAGGGTTTATTAACTCTGAGAAAAGATTATAAATTACTTGGGGGAAAGAAATCATCTAAATATCATAGAAGCAAGGGGATGACTATGTAAATTATGGTATGTCAATCTGAGGGAAGGTTCTACCACCAAGAAAACAATTGTTCAGAAGACCTATGCTTTAATATGGAAAAACACCAATATACAATATCAAGCAAAAATAAAAATATAGAACTACATCTGCCACAATTAAAACCACTAGATCTAAAAATTACATACTAAAGGGTCCTAATAATAATAACAACAACAGTAATGATAACACCACCACTGGATTTGTTAGTGATGGGTTTACAGGTGATTTCCTTTCCTTTACTGCCAATATTACTCTATTCAGTAAACACAATTAATATAATTAATTCAATTAATATAATTTAAAAATTTAAAAGAAACTACCTCAGGACTATCTGAAGAACATCAGGGCTTAGCCAACTGATGATCTGTCCCATCATCCTGGGAGTCAACTGCCCTGGAAGTTATCTAGTCCAAATCTATTCCAATGACCATGGCTGAGGAGCTAAGGTGAAAAAATGAAGAAATGTCAAGAAGTCAGAGTTCACATGCTTTGAAATGCCTACCTTAGGAGGTAGACACGAATATTAACTAAGTTAAGATACGCCAAGTGCGTAGCACAGTGCTTTGCATATAATAAGTGCTCAACCAAGGTTAATTAATGTACAATCCCTATTATTTGCAGATTCCATATCTGTGAATTTGCCTACCCACTAAAATTGATCTGTAACCCCAGAATCAACACTTTGAGTTGCTTTCATGGACGTGCACACGGCAGTGAAAAACGTGAGCCACCTGACACACATGTTCCCAGCTGAGGCCAAACTAGGCAACACTCTGCCTTCTTGTTTTAGCTCTTTATACAACTGTCCTTTTCATGGTTTATTTCGTGCCACCTTTTTCTGCATTTTTATGTCTTCTGTTGGTGATTTTGACATTTAAAATGTGTAGCAGTACTGTCTAGTGTTCCTAAGTATAAGAAGGCTATGACGTACGTGTATTAGATAAACTTCGTTCAGGCAAGAGTTATAGCTGCCTGTATAGTACAGGCTGTTGGCCTGGAGTTCAGTGTTAATGAATCAATAATATCTACAGAATAAAGGTGCCTTTAAACAAAAAGACACACAAAACAGGTGATGGTTTGATTGGCTGATGAAAATGTTGCCACCAGAAGCTTGCCAGAACCTAATCCTGTACTTCCCATTTGAGCAATTGTTCAGTATGTGCTAATTCAGGTGATTCAACAGAACAGAACTAACACAAATTATATAATGAGAATCAACTGAACATGTAGATGAGTATGAGGACCTTTCTCATGGAGCTAACTTTTAGTAACAAGAGTCTCAGCCTGCTGGCTAGAAAGCTGCTTGTCCAACCTAAAAATATCTTGCTAAATCCACAAAGAGTGCCAGAGGCATTTGGGGATGAGTTCAGAAAAGATCTCTATAGAGTATATTGCTCTAGACTGCAAAGGTCTGGCTCCTCAAATAGATACTAGTGGTGTCCAATACAAAAAAACAGATCACCAACCAGTTCACTTTCTTACATATACATATGTATTTTATGGGTATATTGCATAGAAAAAAAGTCTAGAAGAACATACAACAAAATGCTAATAATATTATCTCTGAGAGCTATTATTTTTTCCCTGAAAAAATGCTGAAAGGCACATAGAAGCAATAAAGTTAAAAGTTCAAGAAAGCAGAATATACTATCTCAAGTCCCATTGCCATTGAATGGCTATTGAGCGCTTGTAAAATGGCTAGTTCAAATGGAAATGTGCTGTTAAGTGTAAAATACAGACTGGATTTCAAAGACTTAGTACAAAAAAGAATGTAAAACATCTCAATAACTTTTTTCATTAATATTTTTAATAATGATTACATGTTGAAATATATTTTAGATAGGTTCAATAAAATACCCTATTAAAATTAATTTCACCTGCTTTTTTTTACTTTTTAAATGCGGCTACTAGATAATTTTAAATTACGTATGTGGCTTATGTCGTATTTCTATTGAACACTGAATTTCTAGTGGAACACTGGGCTCAAAGTAGACATTAGCTTCTCATTTTCAGGGTAACAGGTCAAAATTAACAGCAAAACAAAAAAAAGGATGGTATCTGTGGCACAGACTAAGAGTTGCCTCTATTTCCAGCTAAAGAATTGCATTTGCTACAAGGGGTGATCATAAGACTAAATTTTGGTCTATGAGATGCAACTGGAAGCTTTGTGTGTGTATGACTTCCAGGAAGTCTCCTTAAATTGGAGGTGGTATGCAAGTCTTTCTCTCCCCACATCTTATTGCCTAGAATATGGATACAATGGCTGATACTCTAGCAGTCATCTTGGACAGTGAGTTTGAAGGTCACAACTCAGACATGACAAGGTGGTGAGTTAGAAAGATTCCTGACCTACCTCCAAGTTTCTTCTACTTGAGAGAAATAACTTTCTATGGTGTTTAAGCTAGTATTATTTTGGGATCTTCCATTATATGCTCTGATTGGAAACTGACCTTTGAGTTACTCTGGACAGACGCTATCAGCAAAGACACCCTCCTCTGCAGCTCCTGAAAGTCCTTTGAAGTACTTGGGGGCTCTTCTTTCACCATCCTGAAACCCACTTCAGGTCTCTTTAGGGATTAATTCTACCAGTAAGCTCTTCAGTGCAGGGCACAGTCAAATCTCTCATGTCACCTTGTCTCTTGCTGGAGGAAATGAAAAGTATCTTAAACCATTAGTGGTCTTCACCCAACTGACCCAACAAGAGATTCTACTATCCTCACACACTGATGGTGGGCATGCAGATGGAGGGTAACTTGGCAATATCTATCCAAATTTCAAATTGCACACACCTTGATCCAACAATTTACTTTCCAGGAACTTGAAGGAAATAATCAGTTATATCAAAACATGCCAAAAGGATGTGCAGTGTACCCCTGTTTCTAATACATAATAGTAAAACAGTGGAAAGAAGCTGTCTACTAATAGGAAATAGGTTAAATAATGATAAATTCATAGAATGGAGTACTGTATAGCCATTAAAATGATGTTGATATTTATTTAGTGAAATAAAAATATATCTATGATGTGAAAAAATTATAGAATACTATATATTGTTACATATTTTATGCATATATCCATAATATAAAATACATATATGTATTTATGTATTTTATGTATATATCCATAGTAAAATAAAATATCTAGATGGACATATAAGAAAATGTTAATGGTATTGTCTCTGAGAGCTTATGTTTATTTTTTTAGCCTGACAAAATTGTGAAAAGAATGTGGAAGAAAGTAAGAAAGCTGAATACACTATTTCAAGTCCTATTGCCTTTTTTTTTTGGCCAGAAAAACTTTTTCAAACAAGTGACAGTGGCCAATACACTAAACAGGTTGGCTCCCAATTACATTGTGCCATAAATTATTCTCTATTTACTTGTAAGTCTCAGCTCCGTAACAAGAGAGGCACCTGAGGGACAGACTTTGCCACAATTATACCCTGTGACTCAAGAGGCTGGAATTTCCAGGACTGTCCCAATCTCACATAATTATTTATTTTTAATAAAAGCTTTTTGTTAAGTTAGATATCTATCTTTTAAACCCTTTTTAATTTTCATATAAACTAATATATTGTTATTTTATATTTCCCAGAATAACACTGTAGGGCTGGACACAGATATCTTTTCCATTTCTCCCTTACAACTGATCTCCTGACCTATAGCACAAACGCCTAAAAGATTCTGTCACAGTGGACAAAATTAACTGAGAGATGCTCACATTTATTTACCATACTGAACGTCCCCCATGCTAATTATGTGAGATGGGAAGAGGTGTCTCCTAATATCTATAGGGTCTAGCACCAAATTAAAGCACATTTTAATCTCCCCAGCTAGAGATTCTCTGCTACAATCCCTTTTGTGAAACAGGAATCCCCTGAACAGGGCAGGACTAAACTCCCATTCCCATACTGTCTCTGAAGCTACAGCTGGCACAGATTTGAATTTGCGATGTTCCCAGCACTCAATTCCCCTAATCTCCAATCTGCAAGGGTCAGAAACAAGCCCAGCTCCCCTACTGGTCTCCCAGGGCCTTGGAAACCCAAGCGCCACCCGGACCGGTTTGGGGAGTCCAATAGGGGCCAGCGTGAGTAAAATGCCAGCGGCCACATCCGTGGAACGCAACCACCGGGCCACCAATCCCCAGACCCCCTAGTCACTCACTCCTCGGAGGGGCCTCCCCAGGCACTGAGAGGTCTCGGGAGGAGGGAAGACGGCAACCCCTTAACCCGACGCAGCGCACAGTTTCCCGCCTTCTGCCTTCTCCGCGCCTTCCGGGCTGAGCCGGGAGAACACGAGCCAACCCGCCCTTCCCCTTCCACGCCCCACCCCTCCAAAAGCCACCCGCTCTTCCACTACCGCCCCTCCCGGGGCAAACGGAAACCCTGAGCATTCCAGCCGGGCGGGGCAGGGGTCGCATCTCCGGCTTGAGGCCGGGAACCGCCGGGCGCCTCGGGCCTATCAGACCTCCCCCTCCCCACCTGTTTCCAGTCTCGCAGCCTTCCTAAACGCGAGAGGGGACAGGCGGCCAGTTTCTTGGGATCCAAGGAGAGGGGAAAAGGGGGGTGATGCAGGTACAGAGGGGGCTCTGCGCCCGAGGGGGCACCGAGGCTGAGAAATGGGAGCTTGGGGGCGGGGAGTCGAATACACCGTCATTAATTTGGGGAGGAGAATCCCACCTGTGGTACTTGGAGTTCCCCTCTCTGCAGTGAGGGGGGAGGGGCACCCGGGAACCCGGGAGGGAGGAGGGCACCCATTTTCATTAATCCTAAAGAGGGAGTTCGGAGTCTTCCCAACCAGGTTTCCCAAGAAGGGGAAGGGTCCGGGGTGGGATGGGGATGGCAACCCTTTTACCAAATGTAGTAGTAGGTGTAGGGGTGTATATGTGTGTGTATGGGGGTCTCGCAGGGGCTCGGAGGGATGAGACTCCCCTTATTACCAAACGTCGTGCTGAAGGCTTCGGGCGTGGGACTCCGACTATCCTCTCAACCGACCCCCCCCCCCGCCCTCCTCCAAAATTTGTCCCGCCCGGCGAGGGGGCTGTCTAGCCAGCCGGGTCCCCTGCGCCCAAGCTGCCAGCTCTCACCTGGTCCCGGCGGCCGCGCTGCAGGCCGAGCTGCGTGTGCGGGCAGCTAGAGGAGACACGCCCAAGCGGCGGCTCTGAAGCGGGAGCCCGCCTTCTCACTCCACCCCCGCCAGCAGTCTTCCTCCGCCGCGCGGCCCCGCGCCGTCCCTCCTCTCCCTCCCCTCCCCTTCGCTTGGATCTCCCCGCCTGCAGCTCTTGCAAAGGACGCTGTCTCCCTCAGCTTTTTGGAGCCTCCCGGACAAGCCACGAGTGAGGAGCACGTGAGGAAACTGAGGCTCAGAGAGAGTTGCCCTTCCTACACTCTTGGCTTGGAGTGAGGGCGCCCAGGCCATCTCTGAGACAGGTGGACTGGCAGCTGAGAACGGGTTTTCCCAGGGTCTCAGGGCTTCCCCTGCCTAAATACCCTGAACCAGCTCTTCTGGAAGCATCTCTGGAGCTCAGGACAGACAAGTGATGAGGTACGACCTTGACCGGAAGGTTTTAACCATTACTTCTCAAACGCAAATATCATGAGCCAGTGAGATCCCTAAAGATCGGTTCGATTAGTATCTCCATTTTATAAATGAAAAAGTCTAATCCCAAATCCTTCAGTTTCAAGTCAGAGCCAGAACATATGTTCCTTGGCCTGAAATTCAGCCCATACAGCAGGGTTTCTCAAGGGGCAGCGAGCGCTATTGACATTTTGGTCAGGAAAATTCTGTGTTGAGTGGGCTGTCCTGTGTATTGTAGGATGTTTAGCAGCAACCCTGGCTTCCAACCGCTAGATGCCAGTAGTACTTTCCTTCCCTGCAGACCCCCAAACATTGGCAGATGTCCCCTGGCGGGCACAGTTGTCTAGGTTGAGAACAACTGCCATAGAACATACTCGTAAAGACCATGAACCGAGGTCCAACAGTCCTGGACTCTGATCCCAGGGCAGAGTCTTACTGTGTGGATGAGTTAACCTCGCTGAGCTTCAGCTTCATCTGTAAAATGGAGAGGGATAGACTTGAGAATTGGCCTGCTACTGCACAGTTCTCATGCCCTTTCCATCCAGGGACCTTTGCTGATCTGTCTCTCCTCTGTGACTTGTGTCCGTAGGCACCTGAAAAATAACTCTTTAGGAAAGATCAAAGCAATCACAGGGTTGTAGTGAGGACTGGTGCAATAATGGCTGTAAAGAACTTAGCGCCTATCGGGAACATAGGAGGAGCTCAAAAATATTTAACGTATTGTGCTTTTCTTTTTCTGTGTCTTATCATGGTTACTTGGTTTATTTTTCTTTTTTGTTTATTTTTATTTTTAATTTTTTTTTTGTGGTACGCGGGCCTCTCACTGTTGTGGCCTCTCCTGTTGCGGAGCACAGGCTCTGGATGTGCAGGCTCAGCGGCCATGGCTCACGGGCCCAGCCGCTCCGCGTCATGTGGGATCTTCCCGGACCGGGGCACGAACCCGTGTCCCCTGCATTGGCAGGCGGACTCTCAACCACTGTGCCACCAGGGAAGCCCTTTTTTGTTTATTTTTATATTGCAGTATAGTTAACATATAACATTATATTAGCTTCAGCTGTACAACGTAATGATTTGATGTTTGTGTATATTGCAAAATAATCACCACAAGCCTAGTTAACATCTGTCACCATACACAGTGACAGAATTTTTTTTCTTGTGACAAGAACATTTAAGATTTGCTCTCTTAGCAACTTTCAAATATGCGATACAGTTTTATTTTGACTTCTTTCACTGATTTTGCCCACCCACCAATGATGTATTCTACCAACTAATATTTCTAGAAATAATCAGGCTGGTGGATAGAGAAATAAGCTTGGGGATAATAATAATAAGCTAAGGGATCCTGCTCTAACTCCACAAGAGCCAAGAAGGGGGGAGCTAATGGTGAAGATAGGAGGACCTGGATGGAAAAGTATCCCTAAATTTTTACGTTTCAGGCAGTCCTGTCCGTTTTCATGCCTTTTGTTCAGCTGCAGTGTGATGGGTGCCCCATCCAGGAAAGGGTTGGTTATTGTTTGGGTTTGGAGGGTTTTTTTCTTTAGGACAAAACTGCAACCCTCCTTCCCTGGTGGGTGTTGCTTTGGGAAGCTGAATTGAGGCCTTCACTGGAAATTTTGTTCAAGGGTGCCATCTAGGGGAACCTCTGTGAATCTTCTAGTTCCTTTCACTTGCAATTTTGTAGGGCCAGCCAGATTTTGGGTTTCCTTGTGTGTTGGCTGCCTTCTCTATCTACCACACTATATATTACCCAACGGTGGGAATCTTAGCATCTCTCAGTAGCACAAGGACTTGGCTCTTGCTGACCATTGGATGGGTCAGTAAATTAAGTCCCTGGATAAGCAACTGTTTCAAGCCTCAGAAAAGATCTGCCAGAAACACTGGGCTCTGAATTACAAATGTGTGAAAATTTCCAGCAACAGATTGAGACTCTAAGCTGTTAACACCACAAAGATGGGGATAACCTAGAGGCTAGCTGACCTCTTCTCCCCATATTGCCAGATTTAACAAATAAAAATACAGGACAACCAGTT